AGTGGTTGTACTAGTTTGCATTTCCACCAGCAGTGCAGGAGAGTTCCTTTTTCTACACATCCTTGTCAACATTTGTTGTTGCTAGTTGTTTGAAGATGTGCCATTCTCATTGGGGTGAGGTGGTTTTAATTTGTAGCTCCCTTATTACAAGAGATGTTGAACATTTTTTCATACACTTCTTGGCCATCTGTATTTCTTCTTTGGAGAAGTGTCTTTTTAGCTCCTCTACCCATTTTCTGATGGGGTTGTTTATTTTTGTTCAGTTTCATCGTTCTCTGTATGTTTTTGTGATCAATCCTTTATCACTAGTTTTGTGTGAGAAAATTTTTTCCCAATCAGTGGGCTGTCTGTTTGTTTTTTGTAATGTCTCTTTTGCTGTACAGAAGCTCTTTAACTCGATATAGTCCCATCTATTTATCTTTGCCTTCACTATTGTGGCGTTGGGTGCTCTATCTTTAAAGATGTCACTGAAGTGTATGTTGTGTAGTATTTGGCACATCTTTGCTTCCAGGACAATCAAAATTCTTTAGAAAGACAAAATTCATATACTGGCAAAATTTACTGTCATGTATTACCTGCAAAGCATCTAATTAATGGCAGCATATTAATACAGTTTTCCCATGAAAAATAGAAGTACTACATATTTATTTTAGTAAATCATTTTCAGAATCCTCTTACCAAGGGGTGATGTTTGGTTCTTGTACAGATTACCAAAACAACAGTGTGGTTGCAAAATGCATTGTCATAAGGCAACTTCAGTTTTGCTCCCTTCCCTGGTTTTTGTTTCTTTTCTTCTTCTTCTTTTTTTTTTTTTTTTACCACTTTCTTCCATTTAGTATGCGATATATTTTTACTTATCTTTTTTTGTTGCCTTTCTCCCAGGGGTAAACTAATGAGGGCAAGGATATTTGTTTTATTCATTGTTGGTCTGTGGACACACAGTAGGTTTTCTGTAAGTATTTGTTGACCACATGTCAAGTGAGTGAATAGTTCTATTAAAGTGTTCATGACTGGAAAATACAAAGACCTTGCCAGAAGTTAAAAACAGCTGAAAGGTATGTATTCAGAAACTGTAAAATGATTTTTCTTGAAGTTAGAAAATCAGATGTATAAACATCTCAAGAGACAGACAGTCCTTGCTCAACACATAGACTTTTAAGCCTTGAGAACAAAGAAAATATAATTGTTGCATCTTTGAAATGGAAGAATTTTCATATTCACCATGAACTAGAGAGGAACACAGAGTGACCAAATGTGAAATGCTTGTCTTGCCCAATTAAATATTATTTGTACCCAGCTGAGAAAAGAAGGAATAGTGTCATATACTTAGAGTTGGAATATAGTTGGATATTAGTACTAGGTGAGAAGTTATGATGACTGGTCCAAATGTAGGAGATTGGGCCCTCCCTGGTGGCGCAGCGGGTTAAAGCACAGCACTAAGAAGCTAAAGCCACTTCAGCATGAGTTCAATCCCTGGCCCCGAAGGTGATCCACATGGTGCGGCAGACCTCTCCTGAACCATCCACTGTTCCCCTCAGCAGTATACTGTCAGTTGGTCTGTTCTGCTCCCCACTCTGTCTCTGGTGAAGCCTCTTACCCACCACACCTCTGGCTTGTACCCCAATTCTGTGTGCATAAATAAATAAAATTTTTTTTAAGATTTATTTATTTGTGCATATAGAACTGGGGTACAGGCCAGAGTGAGGGGCGGTGAGAGGCTTCACCAGAGACAGAGTGGGGAGCAGAACAGTCAGATGGACAAAGTACACTGCTGAGGGGAGCAGCGGGTGGGTCAGGAGAGGTCTGCCACGCCATGTGGTCACCTCCGGGGCAGGCGGGAATTGAACTTAAGTGCAAGTTGCTTTAGCTTCTCAGTGCTGTGCTTTAACCCAGTGCTGTGCTGTACCAGAGAGGGCCAATAAATAAATCTTTTTTAAAAAATGTGGGAGATTACAAAAAGTGGGAAGTTATTAATGTGTTCTGGAGATA